CACCCGCTCAGCACCTGGCACTGTGTTACACATTCATTAGCACTTGTTGTTGCAGGCCTCTGTGGCCAATTAGATCATTAAAGCTGAAAACAGGCAAAAGATCCTATTAAGTAACATGCAATCTACTGTTCTATTTAAAAGTGGATGGTATGAAAAATAAAACACTGACTTTACTAAAAAAAGAATGTAGACATATTGCACTGGTAGTATTGACTGAAAGACTCTAGTGCCAAGTTTTTAAGTTCTCTTTTTCTCACTGGAAAAGTTATGCATTAATTATGATGGTGGTGAGTCTGTTGGTGTAGAATAGTAATAATCCTGCTTTACTTCTAAAATGCTTCACGGAAGTGTTCTGAAGATAATGAAATGAAACCCCTTCCCCAAATACATTAGCATATAAAAATGTTTTTCTTGCATTACTTTTTTAAATAAGTAGGAATCTCTAATTTACTTTAAATATTACAGGTCAGCATTTTATTTAAAAAATATGATCTACCGATAAACACCTGAATACAATGAGTAAAATAATTTTACATGCTGCCACAGAAGTAGTATTATGATTTCTAACATGTTACTATTGTTGATTCTGGTCAATACCAGTCCCTAAGCAAAAGAGTCACTTGAGGGGAGTGTTTCCAATCTGTGGGAAGTAACTTCTTGGTAAGTAGTAAATCAATTTACTGGGTCATGACCAGCATTATTTTTAATGAAAAAGAATAAAATAGAAATTATTAAAGTACATCACAATCACTTCAGGTGAGTAATGAGTGAGACCAAGTGAGTATGTGTATTAATGTGCATTTGTATTACAGGGTCAAGATGTAAAATGGAATTCCAATAAAAATGCTGAACACCACTGTTATTCTTTCTGCTTTTTAAGAGAGAACATGGCTCTGCACCACTGTGCACCATTGTGCAAACATGCTTTCCTCTTAACTGATACATTTCCTTTCACAACAACCTACTCGGACTTTAATTATTTCCCCTTTCTTCACCTGTTGGAATTCACTTGCTTTGACCTCAAAATATTTTTCTTTTTTGGTTCCTAACTGCAGATTAAGTTGATAGAATACACTCTGCCTTAAATAATTTTAAATATTTTAGAAATTTTAATAACCAAGGTACCATATAACTTATCGTCCAATCCAGGACACCTATGAAAGAAAGAGGCACTTGTCTATTACTCGGCCGCTACAAAAGGGCTAACCCAGTCAGTACAGTTGCTCTATTAATAACTTAGTGATACTGTGTTTTTAATACTGCCAGTATAAAAAGGGCATCACTTAATTTAAATATTATTAAACACAAAAAAGTCAATAGTAAAATTAGAAGTCCAAAAGCATTTAATACGAACTACATGAAATTTCTGATTTTTAATGAAAATTATGCAATGTTCTTATTATTAGACTATATAAAGAATTACCCAGGAAAAAGTCTGTATGACCACATAAAAAGTTAACCTAAAGAGAATAAAGCTTGAAAAAGAAGTCTACCAATAGTGCAGTCTATGTTAACTGTAATAAATTCTTAATAAGTATGCCTTAAAAAATAATAAGTATGCCTTGAATTTACAATACAGAATATAAAGTAAACCCTTTGGCACTAGCCTCTTTAGACAAAAATTCATTTTAAAAAAGGTAAAAAAAAAGTTTCATAAATGAGCATCTACCATGGAAGGCACATGGAAATTATTAAACAATTATTGGAACCTGCCCAACGGATGACAAACTGGGTCAATTCTGGGCAAAATTTTAATCTGTGAAGTTTATTCTTTTTTGTCAACTGAACTCTGTCCCAGGTATGGCTACCCTTCTATGTCTTTAATTCCAAGCTTTCCTACTTTATTATTCATCATTTCCTTTTACTAAAGTTAGGAAGCATGTTGTTTATTTAATTAATTAATTAATTAATTAATTAATTTATGTTTGTGACCATATACATTAGTTTTGGTGTTACACAGTTCTGGCATATTAAGCATTTTCTAACTCTTAGGGCTTAGATTTCTTAGATTTCCTGATTCCCAGCTCTGTCTGCTTCATTTTTATTTTGTCATCTCCCCTTTCTCAGCTTTCTGCTAGAGGAAGCGTCCACAGATGATAACCTTTAGGGGATATACCTAAATACAGAAACATATATATAGAAAACTTTTTATCTGTGGATGAAATAAGTGCATGTTTCTGGGATGGGGTCCACAGCTTTCATAAGACAGCTATTTGGGGAAGTAGAGGAGCATTCTTTTGGGTCTATTCAGGCTAGCTAGAATATTTCTCTCCCTCCAAAGACCACTAGTTCCCACAGAAGAGGCCAGGAGCCGGTGTCTTCTAAGGAAGCTTTGGGGTTTATTTGGGGTTTATCATAACCAAGCCGGCCTTTAGCATACTGTAGGGATACCTACACTTTTTCTTCAAGAGTAGGCCACATAAATAAAATCCACATGAATGAAGACTACTTGAATTAAGAACATGGGTACCAGACATTCTTATGGAGCCTTTAGTCCTACCTATTTTCCTTTTACATTGCTTCAGTCTTGTGATATACTTAGATTAAGGTAAAGATTTTTTCAAATGATTCTGTACTTTTTTCATGAAAACAACATCTACCTATTTTTGAGAAGTAATGCTTGTTACTCATATGAACTGATGAATCTCTTACCATAACCTGGTGGAACCCTCCAGAAACTACAGGTTGGGACCACTGACTTACACCACTGCAACTGATACGGAGAAAGAAAACAGGCATGTGGACTTTATAAATATAATACAGAATGTTTCATTTGGAAAACAAAAAATAAGAAAGCTTATTAAAAAAAACTTTGTAGTTGGCATGAGCAAGCAGCAAAGACATCTTCTGTATAGCTCTACTGGTCAAGAAGCTTTCAAAAACGCGGGGGGATGTTTCAGAATTTCTAAGAAAAGGTGCATGAGTTTTTTATTTTTGTTAAAAGTGGTTATGTGCTGTGGAAAATACCACCCTAAGACTTTCTTCAGTTTTTCATTTCCCTTCTCTTTGCCTTAGGACTGCCAAACACACACCTTTTATTTTCTAACTCTTCTGACATTTTGGTTAGTATTTAATGATATTTAAAAAGTAATGTTCTCTTTTTTTTCTTGATGACCAAAGAAATCTATCCCCATTCATCCTATATTAACTTTTTCTTTAATAATGAAATTGTTTAGACAATAAAGTGTTCATTAGAATGCACCCCTGGTCAGTGGAGGGCTACAATCAGTTATTTATAAAGAATTAATCCTATGTTTTAAAAGATTTTCAGACGAAATAAAAGCATTTTTTAATGGCCTACAAAACCCGTACTGGAGAGATGCGCCTCACTGAATATTTGCAATTATCTGTCTGAATTGTCAGACTGAAATATTTTTTAAAGTCCTCGAAAATCTAATCCAGGCCTGTTTCTTGGGTCCTTGGCTCTTTGTAAGACTCATTTATTCAGTCTTCACCAGAATGCTCCCCACTTTAAACCTAACCTCTTTTAGGATTTTCAATGGCTTTTGTTCTGTATGTGGCAGACCATCGTGATTAAAAACAAAAGTCTAGGATAAGAAATCCTTGATTTTTCCACTCTGCTATTAATAACTACATAAATCTGGGTGACTTCACCTTAAGTCTTGACTTGTCTAAGACCTAGTGTTCTGTAAAATTGAGAGAATTACTGCACTTACAACTCATATGGCGGTGTGAAGGTTAAATGTTACACAATTCGGCTGCACAGCACAGAGCCTGACACATAGTAAGTGTACAGTGAAAGTCAGTGACTGTGGTAGCAATAATTATGAAGTTCTGTTTCTATAGTCTTTTATTTTCACTGCCTCCCTGCCTCTAATGTCTGCAATCCCCTTTCAAGCCTGATGAAGGTAGGAGTAATATTATAAAAACTAAAACCTCACCGTAGGAGGTTACTAATCCAGTAAAGTAAAACTCACTCTATTCTTCTTTTAATGCAGTCAACAGTCATCCCTGGTCATTTGTATATCAAGTCAAAGGATAAAGCAAAGAAGCAGAAGAAAGACATTAGTATGAATACAAGTGTTTCTTTGGTAGCAAGAACATATTGGATGTAAGCCAAGGGAAGACATGAGGAAGAACAAAAAAGTTGGGAAAACAGCAACTAGAAGGAAGCAGAAGGCAGTGATCTAAAAGAGCAAGAGAAATAAAAAGACTGGAAGGAGAGTTTTAGGCAAAAGGATTTATGTAGATATATTTAGAAAAGAGTATATTTTAAGACATGAGAGAAATGGGATTTGCCAAAGCAGGGTAGCTTGAAAGGCTACAAATGAAAAGAGCAAGGCGTTTTGTAGGGTAAGAAGCAGTATTACATATGAGTAAGCTAATACAATTTTTCACAGGCTGGCAATATGAAGAGTATCTGCAAGGCTGGGCTAACCAACCAAAAATAACACAGAAATGTGCATGTTGAGATTTATGTGTTGGCTGTATTTATTAATCCTAAACATAGTTTAGGAGTATTAAAAGAAAAATCTATTCAGTTGTCAACATGGGCCATTTTTAAGGCTTATCCCTTTAAAGATGTGATCTACAGACTAATGAAAACTCCTTAGTTTTAAGGTACATATTTGAAATTTCACAATAATTTTCCTTCCTAATAAAGCATTTCGTTAGGCTAGAACTACAATCCTTTTTACTAAAGAGAGGTTGCCTTACTGGAATCTACTCACAAAAATAAATTTAAAAATCAAAAAATAGTGTAATTTAAAAATCAATGGGAATTAGGCAGACTCAAAAGTCCCACACTTCTATTGGGTTATTTATTTATTTTTCCCAAATCAAGTCAATAGAAGCCAAATGAAAAAGAACTTGCTTAAAATGATATCTAACAGTTTACAAGTTGCTGAAATTTATGTATATTCAGACTCAACTGTGCTTACCAAAGAAAGCTATAAATATCATCTGAATTAGCACCAGTCTGGTGGGAAAAAAAGTGTACTGAATCAAGCAGACTTGCTGTGTTATCTGTTCAAACATACCTGTACCAGTCAAAAGTCCAGCACTCTTCTTTCGTGCATAAGCGCGTAAGTGGTTGGACAGGCTAACAGCACTTGTAAACGTCGTATTGCAATGCACACATGTTCTAAGCTTCACAGGCATACCTATCATTCAAAAGAAAACTATAATCCAGTTCTCACTTCAAAAAGTGAAATTTTCTTAGCTAAAAGCGTGAAGAAAAGTACCACAATAAAGATGGTTTAAAAAACGTTCATTGAATTAGCTTAACTTAAAATAAGGAGCGGGGGG